CCTCACCCCAAATCGGCTGACCTCACACATGTTGAAATCAAGATCAGCATCTTCTCTTTTGATAAAGAGAAGACACTGATCTTGATTTCAACACACAATTATAGCTTAATAACAACTTTTCTAGCATTTTACTTCCTTTTATCAATGAAATTCACAGATATCTACAGATTCATGCATACATGATGTTGTAGCCATGTAAAACTTCAAATGCCCATTACTTCTGACTAGTGCATCTTTCAAAAAAATAGAATCAGAATACAGTCAAACCTCGGTTTTTGCATTCTTTGTTTTGAAAACAGATTTGTTTTCAAACCGAAACAAATTCTCTCAGAAGTAACAATATAAAATGGATTAATCCTTTCCTGACCCCAAAACAGACATTTTTTAGCTGCATTGCCTGCTTAAAAATGCCTACAAATACAATATAATCTATACTATTATTATAAAGAGGTAAAGTTTGTAAGTTTGGATGTAGGAAGTAATCTCCGAAATTACTCATCCAATTTCAAAAATTCTTTCACCAATATTTAGAATGATCCTTCAGGGTGGACATAGGTTGTATATTATTCCATTAAACATTCATATAAATTAAAAGATATCATTTAGGCAAGCATTATATTTTTGGTGTCAGCAGGTGGCAAGGGGTAAGACACGTATATATACGAGATAAATAACTGCACGGCGCAGTCATGTGGTCAGCAAGATACATAATGCACATGTCTGAACTTGTATATTATATAGATGTCAAAATTTCCCCCTGCGGGGAGAGGGACAAAATTAAGGCTTACTGTAAAGAACTTGGCTTCTATTATACTATTTTAGATGCGGTTTTTTGCATTTTAATAGGGTACATCAAGAGAATGTATAGTATTTTTCGATTTTTCGAAGGGATTTTTCGAAATCCCCTCCCGCGGGGAGTGTTATACATTTGTAATAGATGCATTTTGAGCCACAGCAACGCATGGCCAGGTACAGCTAGTATTATCCATATCCATTATATATATATATTATAAAACGCATCCCTATTCTCAAAATTAAAGCAAAAAGATTAATTTTGAGAATAGGGATGAATTTTATAAAAACTTGTAAATGCTAATAATAAATAAAATTTTCATTAAGTCAAACCCTAGTAAAGGGTTACTATACATGATCCCCTTCATCTCCCCATATCCTCAGCCTTTAACCACCAAAATTTAATAGCATCAATCCTCTAATAAACAAACCTTCCTACAAAATTTCAGAAATTTTCAACAAAAAGCAGAGGAGTTATTAAGCTTCAAAGAGGGTGAACAAAATCATGTCCCCCACACATACACACAAACATCCATACATACAGAAATTTCCCCCCATTTCTCAATGTTCTAAGGTCCTGAATACAAAAATGTAAAAATCTTGGTGGGGTCATTTTTTGACCAGTTGCCATGCTTTCCCTCTGTAATGTACAGGGTGTATCAGAATGACGTTTTAAAAATTTGGGGGATTGTAGAGGATGAAATTTTGAACATTTTGATATAAGGAACCTATAGCTGAAAATTTGAACTGAAGTGTCTACAACAGTAGGAAGTGCTTGACTGCCCTTCACTTTGGTAGCTATCCTTCTGTCCATTGACATCATATTATTGCTGTGGATGGAAGACTGTAAACACACAACTACAGTAGTCTAACTGAGCCTGTGTATAGGATGTTGTGTACTTAGTGCTTGTCGTCCTTCAGGTCACCCCTTGCATCCACTGGCGCTGTGCTGTAAACACACAACTAGTCAACATGAGTCCCTTGTGTGCGTAACACCTGTAGGAACAGTTCATGAGCTTATGGAGCACTTCTTTACAGCATTTAATACCATCAGAGGGGAGCATGGCATCTTACAGAGGGTTGGACAAAACATGGTTTGTTGTTGCACATTATGTAACGAAGTTGGTGGTCGTCACATTGAATATTTACTCTAAAGTAGTGCAGCCACTGATTCGATGTACAGTTTGATTATACTCTGCTGTTTTGGTTTGTTTCTTCACTACTATGTGCATAAATAGACACAAGGCATTTTACATCATCTTTATTGATCTTCTATTGGCCGATACACATTTCGAGCAATAGAAAAATCAATAAAAATGATGTAAAACGCTTTGTGTCTATTTATGCACCTAGTAGTGAAGAAACAAACAAAAAAAAGGAAGACACGGTCTCGGAAATACATAACTATAACTCTGCTATTTTGTCAATAAAACTTGTCATAAATACTGTATTCTGCTATTTCATTCAGCATACTGACCACATAGAGCATGAAAGTGCTGTAGAAACTTTATATCACATTTCCGGCTATAGGTTCCTTATATCAAAACGTTCAAAATTTCATCCTCTATAATCTCCCAAATTTTTTAAATGTCATTCTGATACACCCTGTATAACAGCCGAGAAAGTAAAAGTGCTATAGAGATGACTCTGCCTGGATGATATGTAACCAAACCAGTCAAGACAGACAACAAATACTTTATCCACACTTTCCCAAATATTATGTTTCAATTGCTTTGATTTAAATTTTAATTAATTTTGATTTTATTTTAAATTTTACTTTCAGTTTCAGTGTAAAAACCAGAGTTTTAATTATTATTTTTAGTTTTAATGAACTGGCCACCTAGTATTAATAAATATTAGATATTATTATTATTATAATATATAATATTATATATTATAATAATAATAATATCTAATATTTATTAATACTAGGTGGCCAGTTCATTAAAACTAAAAATAATAATTAAAACTCTGGTTTTTACACTGAAACTGAAAGTAAAATTTAAAATAAAATCAAAATTAATTAAAATTTAAATCAAAGCAATTGAAACATAATATTTGGGAAAGTGTGGATAAAGTATTTGTTGTCTGTCTTGACTGGTTTGGTTACATATCATCCAGGCATAGTCATCTCTATAGCACTTTTACTTTCTCGGCTGTTATACAGGGTGTATCAGAATGACATTTAAAAAATTTGGGAGATTATAGAGGATGAAATTTTGAACGTTTTGATATAAGGAACCTATAGCCGGAAATGTGATATAAAGTTTCTACAGCACTTTCATGCTCTATGTGGTCAGTATGCTGAATGAAATAGCAGAATACAGTATTTATGACAAGTTTTATTGACAAAATAGCAGAGTTATAGTTATGTATTTCCGAGACCGTGTCTTCCTTTTTTTTGTTTGTTTCTTCACTACTAGGTGCATAAATAGACACAAAGCGTTTTACATCATTTTTATTGATTNAGTGTTTTTTTTTGGCCTTTTTATCCTCATCCTCATGGGCATCCTCAGCATACCTGTATTTCATGCTAAAAATGCAATGTAATAATAGATACAATAAATTTTTGTTATTTAATTTGAGTTAAGCACCATTAAACACAGATTCATGACTGTTGTTTATATTACAAGAATATCAATTAACATGGTTTTTATTAATTAATTTGGTTTAAATTCAACTGCATACTAATGCATACTGAAAAATGGAAGTACAGTAGTATCTCACTCACACATGCATTAAAATTTAATTTGAATAATATCATTGATGGTTCATGTCATGATGTCTAATGACGTGAGGCAATCTTGGCAACTCTAACTTCTGAATTGGAAGTCTCATTGTTAACTGGTCAGACTGTTGACTTTCTTTAACACAGGAAGTATACGGAGTTGACCATCTGTGTGTCTCTAATCTGTGGTCAGCTCTTGCAGAGTAGTTGTTCTGCAACTGGGGCAAACATGGCATTCAAAATTTTGTTCATAAACTGAATTGTTCGAAAAGTGAGGCGTTAGAAGCTCTAGGTTTGACCATATGCAATAAAAATGAAGTTGACCTCTAGCACCATCTATGATGAAACTGATAGCCATCTTGTGGTCCTCTTGAAGTCTAATCATTTATGATTTAATGATATTTTGTAGGATGCATATTATTTGAGTTATTTTACTGAATTGATAAAAACGGTTCACTGAATAATTATATTGAATTGTATATTGAAGAAGTGATTCTTGATTTGGGATGCATGTACTGAAAATGTAAAATATCTTATCTAGGGGTGCACACTTCTACAAGATAAAAACATTAAATCAATAAAAGAAAATTTAAGTTTTTCTTTCACCTTTTCCATTGAAAAAGTCTTTTTTAAAGTAGAGCTTAATAAAAAGCTACAAATATTAAATTTAATTTAATAATTATATATTTTTTCTATTGCAAAACCTTAACTTATATCTAAAAGTTTTAATTTTATATTAGTAAATAGATGCAGATATGTTTTCTTCTTTAAAGTTAGACTTAAGTTAGCTTACCTAAACTTAGGCTAAAATATAATTATGTGACAAAAGGGATGATCCTATCCTCTTGAACAAAAGATTTAACAATTTTTCATAAAGATATGAAAGCATATATTAAAAATCCAAAGTTTGCAGACACATAGTAAAAGGTTAAGAACCAAGTCTACTAATAGATTGAATGACAGCACTGGAAAATTATGTATATATATAATTACTAATGTATTCATTAATGTTAATGATTAGTATTACAGAATATAATTTTTTTTAAATTAATAAGACAATAAACCAAATAATTCTTTTTACTGTGATTTTTGTTATTACACCAGAATCATTGGCAATGGCAACTGACTCTTATGCTCACATATAATTATTTTATATTTTACAATAAATAATTAGCTGTTATTAACAGATTTTCCTCATGTTTTATTCATTGAAATTTAAAGGTATAAATTTTGAATGAGTGTATGAGGAAAAATTTATAAAGAGAGCAACATTTTCTAAGAAAAATTGGAATCTCATGATTTAAATAAATAAATTTTTGAATAAGACAAAATTATTATTACACTTTTTGATCTTGTATTCAATATAAAAAATTTGAAATCCATCATCTTATCATTTTGCTACTTAGGAGTTATGCATGAATAACACCAAATTACAGAAACAAATTGATTATATATTGCTGATATTCAAGTATTTTTCTACATGCAGGTAAATGTGATCATATCCTAAAATTACAAATGTCATATAAAAACTTTGTTTAATAAATATAAATAGCTTCATAAAACCTTACATTTTAATTTAGAAAATATTTAAATGTACAGTCGACCCCCCTATAATGTGCGTTCCTATAACGACAATTCCTATAACATAGCGAAAAAATTGTAGCAACATTCGTATAAAGCAGCTCCTAAAATGTCTTCGCCGACTTGTTTTGCGACAAGATTGATAGAGTCTGGACCAATAGTGGATGAGCAGCCGAACTACTTTCCTCCGACCCTGCGCCACGCTACGGAGCGGCTAAATTGAGTTTGCTATCGTCTGTTTAGTATTATATATAAATTATATATAAATTAGGTACTGTACATATAATTATATATTAATTATATATAAATTAGGTACTGTATATATAATTATATATTAACTTAATTTATTGTAACTTTATTATAATTATATATATGCTTTCTGCCGCCTGGCAACACGCTACGGAGATTTTAGGCTAGTAAGTTGAGTTTATTATCGTCTGTACAGTATGTAAATTAGGTACCGTAAGTCTAATACAGCACTAATTTTATACATTTCTTGTGAAAGAAACACTTCTTATTCAACGGCCATAAAAATTATTTATATTAATGATGTCTCCAAAGGTCAAGTTATTTTTCCGCCAAAAATTCGTTATCAGAAATTGCGGCCGTCGTTTCGCGTGCTGTTCCGCGATGAAAACCAGCTTTAAGCAACGGCGTAGTCGAACGGTACACACTCGGTAAGTAATCCTATAATTTTTTGTTTATAGCATAGTTTATACAGATTATTCCCAAAAAATTATACGTGTTTTGGAAATGTTGAGTGGAATTAGTCTAGAATCGGTTAATTTTATAGAAGAAAACCTTTCAAACAGCCTTAGTCCGTAAAGTTCACACCTATCAGGCTGCGATTGGCTCATGTATTTAATCATTCCTACAACGTAAAATTCGATTAGCGTGGAACGTATCTAAGCGTTATAGGGGGGTCTACAGTATATACATATTAATTTATAATGAAAGTACATATAAGTTAAAATAATAATGTCTCATCACGAAAAGCTCATCATTAAAAATTCATAATTAAAAAAAAAACTATATATTTTTAATGTGATTTCTTTTTGACTCCTTCCATCCATGAGCACTAAGAGGGTCTTTTAATAAAGCCCATTTCGGGTTTGGTCAGGCCCACAATGAGGTAGTCAAGTGGTGAGAGACATATCCAAGATGAACCAACTTCAAAAAATTCCTGGGACCCATCCAGATTCGTTCCTGAGTCCCCATAAAGGTTGGCTGGCATCTTAACCACTCTGGTCATCTTTTTAGTACGATTGGAAAAACTTTGTCATAAATGATAAAATACAACTTCATTTACCTGATTGAAATCCACTTTCTTTTGCTCTTTCTTTTCCAATATTTAACATATCAGAATTAATATCACAAACTACGACTTGGGAACTAAAAGTATCACTTTCTATTTGTTCATTTTCAACAATCTCACTGTATGGATTTGGAATATCATTAATAACAGAAGTGTCTTGATTTTCCAATCTTGAATATTTCAGAAATCTGAATGCAATATCACCTGTAAAATTTTGTATGAAAAAATTATTTCATTTATAACATTGAATGTTTAAAATTATAGAATTGTAATTATACAATATTATTATTGAATTCATTCTTAAGTTAAACTGTAACAATCTACTGTTAGAATATTATCAATTTTTTTTGTTTTGTTATTAAAACTGAAGGAGATCATTTCTGGATGCTACAGAAAAACTAATAATTTTAAAAATAGTAAAACCACATAGCAAGCAGAAAATTGTTTAATCAATGAGAAATACAAAATGAAGGCTCTATATTGCTCATGAGAAGCCATAACGAGCAAGCACTACAGGGCAACTGTAAACTGTCATGCATCAACTGATTTGAAATGTTTTTAAATTTTAATTAATTAATTTACTTTTAAAAATTACTTTATTAATTTTAAATTTGATCTTTGAATTTCAAAAATGGGAAGAAAATGTTATCTAGTAACATGGATCTTGACTTGGAATAAACAGAAGGCAGCACAATGAATTTGAATTACTGAGAGAATTTTACATTGATTTAAACAGGAATCAGATAGAGAATAGCATCCAGTTTGAATTAAGAGGAAATTCAAATTATCCAAGTTCAAATGAATTAGAGTCAACTGTATATACCAGGGATGATCATGCATGGGGTCAACGAGAGCTACATGCCAGTTATTCATATATTGTAAAGAGCCACACCATATTATTTAAGTACACAAAAATAAATACATATAACCAAATTTTATTTAACTTAATTAATATGATGACATGTTCTATATAAGTTTTAAGTGCTGTATAAAGTATACATATAAGAACTTTTAATTAATTTTGTATTTTATTTCTTTAATAAAATACAAAATAATTATTTCAAAATTTTAATAATAAAAACAAAATATAATAATAAATATTCACTAAAAAAGTATAACATTTAACAAAGACCTTTGTCAAATCTTTTTGGCATATAATTTTTAAAGCTGTTTGCAGCAATTCTGTGAGATGCTGATTGGTCAACTGTGAACGATATTTCGACTTCATGAATCTCATTGTGGAGCACAACAATTCACAGCAACATGTACCAAACATTGAAATTAGACAGCAAGCAGCTTTTTTAAGTGCAGATATTTTAATTCTGGCACAAGTTTCCAAAATTCAATTAGAGAACTAAATTTGTGAAGCATTTACAATGCCTGATCTTCTTTTATCTCTAGTAACTCCAATTCTCCAGCCACTTTTTCAACAAGTATTATTTCAGAAATTGAATAATTGGCAAATAATTGGTTCATGAAATATGCAAATGTTAAAACTTTTCAAATCTTCAAAGCTACATTTGAAATTGCTTTAATCCTTCCAATTTTTCTAATTTTTCTTCTTTAATATTAATATATTGGCTTTTACTTGTGGAAAATGACTAAATAGTCTGGACTTAGATTGTGCATAAAAAGCCAAAGTTTAGCTTCAAAACTAAATACAGTTTGTGACAAATCTCTAATCATTTTTTTCCTTTCCTTGTAAAGCCAAATTAAGTGTTTGCAAATGTTCCATGTCATCTGTAAGGAACATTAAGTCAGAAAGCTAAATTTCTTTTTCTAATTCTGGGTAATATTTTCCTTTTTCTTTTAAAAATGTTATGATAGTATTTAGGACTTCCACAAAATGGCTCAAAACATTGTAAGTTGATAGCCATTTTACAGTCAACCATAAGGAGAGATCACTGAGCAATTGACCTGTTTTGTCTTCTTAAATTCTTCCTGAAGTTCTTAAATTGACAATGTGTTTTTGCATTTGTTCTAATTAAATTCAATCTGCAAAACAATCTTCCACACATTTTCATATTTTAAGTACTTTGCTATGAGATGCTTGTGGTGAATTATGCAGTGAAGAGGTACAAAACATGGAATTTTAGAATTGTTGTTTAAAAGACCAATACAGTGGCATACCGTAGTGGGGGCGGCAGTTTTTAGGGGCGGCAAAATTTCACAATAAATAATAATAATATCTTGTAAAAATTTGAAACATCCTAATCTATACTTGTAGCGCGCCTACGATAGTGCTATCGTCCGGACAGTCCGGGAATCGGTAATTTTTTCATCCAAGGAAATCCTGCAAAACCTTCTGACCTTTTTTTTTCTTGTACGATTCATTCGCATTCATGTACACCACTAATATCCAATAGAACTATTTTAAACAGGTCGCTGCACTACCACCGAATTTTTCATTGCTTGTTCTGTGACAAAACTGAATTTTGGTCTTTTAAATTGAAATACCTAAATAAGGGGAGACCAAAATTTTCCTCTGCCCCGGGCGGCTGACACCCACAGTACGCCACTGGACCAGTAAGACCTAGGTTTTCCCCAGTCATTGCAACATTTACAAGTTTACATGAGGCAATTCAAACCTGTTCATTATCTCATCAAGAACATATGTTTGACATTGATACTGCAAGTTGTTTTAGTAAGAGCTACTAGATCTAACATTTCTTCCTTCATATTTACGTCTGCAGATACATAGCAGACAAAAATGGCCAATTGGGGATCATCCTGAATGTCTGTAGACTCATTGAGAGCTAAAATGAATACCATATAATTTTTCAAATCACACATCAAACTATTTTCAACATTTTTTACTAACTTCACTAATATGATGATCAGTTGTACATTGTGACATAGTAACTTGTGCCATCAATTTATGCAGTTTTGTATCATCTGGATCCAAAGCTTTAACCAATTCATCCAAGTTTTTTTAATAAATTCTGCTTCTCCATATGGACATTTGGCATGAGCATTATTCCAAACTATCAAAATATTAGCTTTGCTGGCTCTGTCATCTTTGTGACGAAAAGAAGACAAGACTCCTTGTTACTTATGAAGACCTGATTGCAATGACTTAAGTATCTCTGTTTGAAATTTTGAATTGAGTGGATATTGAGCTGAAAAGTGGGAATGACTTACTAATGTCAAAGTAATTAATGTTAAAGTAAATTGCTTACTTTGTAGTTTGCAATTGTAACTTTACAAAGAAGACAGAATGACTTTCCATTATTGTCAATAAAAGCAAATTTTTCTACTCATTCTTTCTGAAAGCTTCTATTTTCTTGTTTGTATTTTCATTTTTTTGATATTTTCTGAGGTCATATTAACAAAGAATTTAGGAAATTTATTTCTAGTCTGAAATTCAAACAATAATAAATAATTAAAATAAAAATGTCTAAATATTGAATTTTGTTTTAAAAGATTTGTAAATAGTGCAACGAATTGTCAAAGAAACAGGGCTTCTTAAAATAAAATAAGAGTAAAAACAATTTAGAATAATTAAAAGCAATTTTGAACTATATTTATTTTCGGTTGATATTTTCCTGATAATTCTTGAACATCTGTTTTGTTATAATTTACTACCAAAAATAGAAATAACATAACCAAAATTAAGCAAATGTTTTCCAGTTTTATTTTCAACATTTTTTTTTTATGTAATTGTTTAAAAAAACATGAAACTCTAAGTGCGCTAATTATAAACAATTAAAATAATTTTCTTAACTTGTACATGTCTTTAGAAAGCTTGCACCAATGCCACAGAAAAATTACATCATAAACAAGTTTATCATAAAGTACTCAGCAAATCACTATACATATATCTAACACCTTATCCTTGCCGAGAAATATAATTTAATTTCAAACAAACGTTTTCAGCCTGATTCACAGGCCATCTTCAGGTTGAGAACCAAATTTGAATTAAAGGATTCCATTAATGGAATACAAAATTCAAAATTAAATAAGCAACAGAATAAGATAAAAATAAAAATTAAATATTAAATAACCAACGGAGCAACATAAAAATATAAAAAAATGTACATAGAAGTATTAAGAAATACAATTACTAACACATCCAATAAAATTACTATTTTGACTGGTTAGAGCTCTTATTAAATCTCTTAACTATAAACTTCCATGCAGAGGGAAGACTTTCTGCATCCCTCGCATTTAAACAGCCTTCCTGTATCTTACTTCTATAAATCTGCAACTATTTAGCTGTCAATGCCAAAGATGGGGAAGATTGGAGCAGAAGAGTTCTTTGGATCTACATTTTCTAGACATCGGTATTAAATTCAAAAAAGGCCATCTGTCCACTAGCGTTTTTATTAAGCCATCCCACAGCCCATTGTATATTCCCTCCCGATCCAAGGATCTGTATAAATATAAAATTGCAGCTTTCAGAACTTTAATAAGAAGGGCATTTTTGTATTGTGAAACAGTACAAGATAGAAGTAAAGAAATAAATAGAATAATGAGCGTGGCCAAGACACTAGGCTACCGAAAAAGCGCAATTCTGGGAATGGTTAGGAAGTATGAAGAGAACAACAAGAAAGAGTCTTTTAAAAATGCTCCTACTGGAATCGTAAAATTTACATATAATGAAAGTATGAATAGCGTTATGAAAGAGATTGCTTGCAGAAAAGGTTCGAGAATAAAATAAAAAGAGCCCCTAATTTATACAAAATCCTAAGAAATGATAAGGATGCTATAATGTCAGAGGAGAAAGCAGGGGTTTATAGAATTCCTTATGAAAATATGCAATTGGGCATTAAAAAAGACTATATTGGAGTAACTACCAGGAGTTTGGGACTTAGAATCAAGGAACATAGTTATAATATCAGAAAGGAGTCTAATGCAACAATTTTATCCCAAATGGCACAAGCACCAGGATCTGTAGTCAAATGGAATGAGGCAGCCATCATAGAACCTTTATCTTCCTCATCTTTGGCGTTGACAGCTGAAAAGTTGCAGATTTATAGGAGTAAGATATAGGAAGGCTGTTTAAATGCGAGGGATGCAGAAAGTCTTTCCTCTGCATGGAAGTTTATAGTTAAGAGATTTAATAAGAGCTCTACCAGTCAAAATAGTAATTTTATTGGATGTGTTAGTAATTGTATTTCTTAATACTTCTATGTACATTTTTTTACATTTTTATATTTTTATGTTGCTCCGTTGGTTATTTAATATTTAATTTTTATTTTTATCTTATTCTGTTGCTTATTTAATTTTGAATTTTGTATTCCATTAATGGAATCCTTTAATTCAAATTTGGTTCTCAACCTGAAGATGGCCTGTGAATCAGGCTGAAAACGTTTGTTTGAAATTAAATTATATTTCTCGGCAAGGATAAGGTGTTAGATATAGGTATAAACAAGTTTAAATTGCTAAATAAAACAGTCCATATGTGCATGTAGTAATTTTTATAAAATTTGGTAGTTGTTGTTAATGTACAGTTTGCCAATATATTCAAAAATAGTATGTGCATACATGCATGATGTAATTTGTAATTATATTTTTAATTTATTTAATTTAAAATATATGCTCTCTACCTCAAATTAGTAGTGTCTTGCCCCTGTACATCATACTTTTCCTGTTACAATAGAGTCATGCTAGTCATCTATCTAATTCCTTTCAAGGAAATTTTTGAATTGAAATAACATGACTTCCAGTTTGCATCAGAAGTTTATATATAGTTTATAGGGGCCTCCTGTCTTTAAGCTTTCCATATATGGTCTCAGTTTTCATCTACATAACTCTATTCTCTAGATTAAGGAAAGACAGACAGATGAACAACAGTGTTAAATTTATAGGTCTACGGGGGGCGCTTCTGTCTGCCGAAGCTGCTGGCGCGTTTTTTTTACTCACTTCAAATACAGGTAAAGAATGTATCCTGTTTAATAATTTTACGTTAAAATTTTATTTGTTTGGGCTGTGTGTTAACATTATAATTGTTGGAAAATTTATCAACATAATTAATATGCAACGCTCGCCAACTAAAAGAGGAAGACCACCACTTCAAAAGTCAAAATCAACTAGTAGAAAGGAAACTGCTTCGACCACTAATACNAGAAGCGTAATGTAAATTCAAATTAAAAGAGATTTTTTGATTTAAATTAAGAAGAAAACTTCAGAACTAATCAAGAAAAAATTTCCATTGTATAAGATGTATAATATCCATTACTTTTTTGTTCATATTTTAAATAATTCGAAATATGATATGTAGATTGAATGATTAATATGTTATGTTTAGCAAAATTTATGTAACAAGATATTTAAAAAAATATGTTTCAATAAGTAATAATTGTATTTTTGTAATTCTCTAAAGCTAACCCCCTGTAACAAGAATATTCTTATTACAATAAAGTATTTGTAATATCATTAAAAATTTATAGGTCTACAAATTTTTCAAATTGCAGCCCAACAAACTCTACAGTGGAATAGAAAAATTAACAAAAAAGATAATCCTATTAAATCATTGAGTCAATTTTTATTATTTAATTTACAACAGTAATTTCTTAATTTGACAATGATATATGCCACAAAAATAATTTAAAGAAAGTACACTTCAACTGTATTACAGTGCAAAATCCAATATTAATGTGATCACATTATGTACCCTACTGTATATAACACTATTTTATTTATAATACAATTATTATTTGTGATTTAAAAGACATTAGTTTTATGTTTATGTTATCTGCTATAGCATTTGTTCTTTCTTATGTAATTATCCTGATTTCATCAATTCCTGTGTTTTCTGGAGTACTCACATTGTTAGTGATGAGAACAGGCATCATTGTTTACTTATCAAACAAAACAATCTTGGAATAAGAGAAGATAAAAGATTGTGTTGGTAAATGAAAATAAATGCAAATAAAAATTTTCCTTGAAATTCTATCTTTTTTATTTCAGCTTCAAATTTTTTACAGTAGTTGTGATCAAAACTTGAATACATTAAATGTAATTTTTCCTATTTATAATGCAACTCCAATACAATACAATTCTAGATATACTGTAGTTTGTAGTCTTGGATGCCTAACCACAATGCTGTAATGGAGTTGAAGTGTACATCAACATAAAACTCAGAAAACGTATTTTTCATAAAAATGTAAAGTGTAGTTAATTTAAATTTCATTTAGAGATATATAAATTATAATTATTATTTTATACAGATAAACTTGAATGCTTTATTTACACAAGTTAATATTTTGAGTATAACCTTTTTTAAGTATATAAAATAACTTTACCTGTTCCACCTGCCACATCTAAAAGCTTTGTTCCAGGAATTGGATTTAAAGTTTGAATTAATTCATCTTTCCAAAGACGATGAATACCTCCACTCATGACATCATTCATTAAATCGTATTTTGAAGCAACATTGGAAAATACTGAATATACTAAAAAAATTTAAACCTTCTATCAATCTTATTATATTTCACATAATAATCATTTATCTTAAATTCTATCTAAGTAATTTTAAAATTTTATGAATATTCTACTGAATTAATCAATACACCTTTAACACTGGGTGAAATTTAAATAACATTAACATTTTCAACCCACTTAACGAACCATTTTCAGGCAAAGACAACTGAAAGTGGAATGCTGGTATCAGAAGGAAGATGGGATAGACCCCAATAGAATAAATGATCTGGGTCAAAAATGTTAGTGTTATTTAAACTTTCCTGTTAAAGATGCATTGATTGATTGATTGATGAACTAGCCATTGTGATTACTTAGTCGAATTAATCATTCGACTAAGTAACCACAATGGCTAGTTCATCCTTATAAACATTCTATTTTTAAATCTTAATTTTGGTAATACTTTTATATAATTTTTAAAAAATATTTTAAGTACAGTCGACCCCCCCCTATAACACGGGTTCCTATAGTTTGGATTCCTATATCACGGTGAAAAAATTGCGACAGTATTCGTACAAACATGCTAAAAATACTCTTATAATTCGGTAAAATGTCATCGCCGACTTGTGTCGCGACAGGATTGCGCAAACCGTTGAGTTTTAACGAGCAGCAGACCTACCAAAAACCATTTATTATTTAACATCCATAAAAATTATATTTATATTAATGATGTCTCTAAAGTTCAGCGAATTTTTCGCAAAAAATAATTTATCAGGAAGCATGCGAGTGCCATCCGATGACAATCTCCACGACGAAAACAAGCTTAAGCAACAGTTTAGTTGAATGGTGCACACTCAGTAAGTAATCCTACAATTTTTTGTTTATAGCATAGTTTATATGGATTATTCCCAAAAAATTATACATATTCCGGAAATGTTGAGTCGAATTAGTCTAGAATCGATTAATTTTATGGAAGAAACCTTTCAAGCAGCCGTAGTCCGTATATGTGCCAGGCTGTGATTGGCTGGACTCAAAGAAGCTGGATTCATAAAAACAGGAACGTATCTACCGTGTTATAGGGGGGTTGACTGTAATTGATAATGATAATAAATCAGTCTCTTCAAATGACAATTCATTGCAGAAATGAGAATTTCAGTCATTAAAACTAGATAAATCTATTTTAATTTAAATACTTTTGTATACATTATTATTTCCTGCTTTGTAAGATGCAACAAGATAATAGATGCAACTACACTTTAATAAAGATTATTTAAGCATAATAAAAATATCTTTTTTGGATACTAAGACATAAAATTCTGATGCAGAATTCAATACTCATCTTTCACTTAAGGAAAACACTAATTAGGGATAACATTTTATTTCTAAAAAGATATCTATCACCAATATTTTTAATCATTTTAGCAAGAACTCCCAATAGTGTATCAATGGAAATTAAGAAATTATATAGTGATAAACTGTATCATCTCTCATAGTAATGTCTATTAATTACATATACAATAGTTTTTAGAATCCCAATATTAAAGAAATGGTTCAAAATGTTCTATAAATATTTTTTTAACTGATAGTTTAACTCATATGACTAGTAAGTAGGCTTATAAGAACAAATTTGTATGCCACTAACAACACTAAAAAAAGTCCGTGCAGACAATGTCTCAGCCCTCTCCCATTGTATACAATGATGTACTTTTCACAGATTTTTTTCTAACAAATTTATTCAAAATTATTAACTCAGTTTGTTCATTGTGACAAATAGAGAAACAAATGCTGCAAATACTAGACTATTTTGTACTGGGAAATAAACCAAATGAATACATCAAACATGGAAACTCTTGCTTATACTTACAGGCAAACTTAACATTGGTAGTCTTATGCCTCCTTTTCACACATTCTTAAATACCATATTTATGTTTTTAATTTTTCTATTTCCTCTGATACTTTTCATACTCTTTGTATCTTCCAGTTTACTAGAATTTCAGCTGATGATTATTAAAATTATTAACTATTAATTCAATTTCCTTTATGTCCTTATTTTACACTGTTTTTATTATATAAATGTCTACTTAGAACTTATATTATCAAGAATTATTATACTGATGTTCTGTTTCTGCAAAAGGAGGAAGTCTTATTCAGAAAAAAATAAACAATCTTTATTGTTCACCTGTACACACTATATTTGTGTTTCGGACATCAAGGTCCCTCTTCAGCAGGTTAATATCAACAAGATGCTAAAAACAAGATTTATAAAAATTACAATACTAAAAAATTCTGACAATAATACACACTATTTGAATGACTTACAGTTTCTCTGTGGTTAATTACATCAAGATATAAGGACAGTGGTGTCGGACATTCCAAATCTGATGCAGTTATTGTACCAGTATTATATTGTACGTCCTCCCCCCATTTAAGGCAACTGATCTGACTAAAATAATCAATATGCATCTCAATAGGCGGTTTTTGAGCAATTACCTGGAAGGCAGAGGTAGGCACTGTTCTATAAGCTTTCGTCAGTAAAATTAATGCTTTCCTCTGGGCCAAGTTGAACTTTCTCTTAGGATGCACCTTATGGGATACCCATCCCCAGCTACTACAAGAGTACGTAATTGTTGGTATGAACAGCTGGTTGTAAATAATATCCAAAGCTTCAAAGGGCAAACCCTATGTATGATGGGCCACTCTGGAGAATGTCTGAAAAATCAGACCCATACATTTGGTTATATAATCTATGTGTGCATTCCATAATAAACTACTGTCCAATATGACTCCCAGATATTTAAGTGTTTTGTCAATTTTGATCGACACTCCTCCCATTTTTACACTTGGAACTCGGAGAAATAAGTTTGGACCCCCCAGCGTCGACTGTATTGCCAGAATGGCAATAGTGTTATAGGGGGGTCGACTGTACTTAAATGCTGCAACAATCAAAGGCTCGTGTTCATATGGGAAACGCTTCTCACAGCTATTACAGAAGCATGCAATGTTCCCACCCTTGATCAACCCAGGGTGTGGATTTCCTTGTATCGGCGTCTAAAAAATGAAATGTGCCTAATGTCATATCGCCAATGCAGTGTCAATTCCACGCATGCACTGCTCTCACCGTAAAAATTTAAGGATTCAAACATGTCAAGAACTATTTGCATGTTCTTAACGGAATTTCCAGACACCTGGTTTGAATTTTAAAATTCTGTTCATTTGGAACATTCTGCACATTTGGTTCATTAAAATTTGTTCATTTCACCTGAGGACGACGGTTATACACTTGTCAAAAGTGCTTATGTTAATGCTAAAGGAACTTTATTAACGCTGAACTCAGTGAATTTTCATCCAAAAACTATACAAAGCTTGGTGCGAGTTTTTTAAATTTACTTTTTAACATCAAACAGTTTGGATGACTGTCAGCTTTATACATAAGCATTATTTTTATTTTCTTTATGTAATAGTTTATAATAAGTTACTAACATATATTTTATTTTGGCTGATCTAAGAGCCACTGTGCAGAATAAAGACATTTAAGTTTTCATCTAATGTTCATTTAACTTTCAGCTCACTAAACTTAATGTAATCTGATTTCATGTAGGATTTTTCATGAAATTTTTTGAAAGAAATGTGCATCTTATCTGAAAGAAAATAAAGTGATTTCAAATTTTATAAAACTTCATAATATGAGATTTTGACTTGATGAATATTTATGCTGCTTTGGAATAAATTTTACTAATTCTTTAATTGTGTAAATTTGCTAAATATTAACAAAAATAGTTTGAATATAACATCTTCAACTCAATTTAGCTTTAATAGTAGCCTATATAACAGTGCAATTCATAATTCAGTTATAAAGAGAGTATATTAAGTTTTATTAATACAGTAGAGCATCGATTATCCGACCCCCAATTAATCATCACATCAGTTAACTGACCGTTCTAGTCGGCAAATTTCAAATGTCCGCTAGTGATGTGGCACTACAATATTTGGCTATGTCTTGGCTACTTTAATATTATTTTTGTTAAATTTTTGCGTTTTTTAGCTGGCAGCATCGGCTCGACCATTGAAGGGAGGCCAGTATTTAAACAAGACTTAATTTTCTAATTATGAGTGGTTGTTTGTTTTGTGAGCAATAAAATAATTTTAAAATAATTTTTAACGACACAACAGCGACGATTAATATTAAAAAAAAAATTTGTTAGGCTTAACATCGATGAAAATTCAACGCAAAGTAGGTTAACAATATACTAATATACTAATTACATGGGATATACTAATATACTATACTAATAATGTATTTTTTTTCATTCTTTTCGGTTATCCGATTTTTTCAGTTATCCAACCAACCTGAGTCCCCAATTGAGTTGGATAATCGATGCTCTACTGTATCATCATTACATTAAATACATTTTTCTTTTTAATTTGAACTATTTATTTCCAAAATAGTTCCTTTTCTAATTTTAAACTACTTCAAATAAGACAATTTCAAGCTAGAAAATGTGAAAGAATATTTTTATACTTATAAATTACTTGAATAATTTAACCAAATAATAGCTCGTATTAGGAAAAAATCAAAGACTGGTTCAGTAGATCCCACATTAACTTTGTATTGCAATGCATAGCACTGCATGCTATATGCAGCATGGAGGGAGGGAGGGAGAATGTGGTAGAGGGAGCAGTGAGCAAATCAGTTGTTGCTCATTCAAGTCTGTTGGACATCAGTAAACAACAATCAGATGGATTTTCTCACCCAAGATAGCCAAGTGGCGTCTACAATGGACGGCTGCCAGATGTAATTAACTACCTTTAGTCAACCAGGGGCACAGAAGAGTTGCCCGCCACATAAGCGTTTCCCAGGTCGAATTAGTCAGGGACACAGATACAAGTTGACGGACGGCTCAGCATCGACAACGCCATTTCTTGACTTGATGAATATTTATGCTGCTTTGGAATAAATTTTACTAATTCTTTTCAGACACCATCGGCCAGCAACTCCCAGAGCCCAAGCAATGCCAAAAAAAACAGTCCAAGCTCCAGTGCCGACACAATGCAAAGTCAATACAGAACCCAGCCCAGTCCCAAAAATTATATATAAAGTTGAATTTTTGATTCTGTCGTGATTCACTCTATTTCTTCGCGAATAAGTATTTATAAGCTTTACAATAGTTAATTAAATATTTGTAAGAATTCACCTTTCTCGGATTTCTCTTTTTCTGTAACAGTATCAAAGCCAAAATGAGTCGTCGACTCTTCAGAATAATCGCCGACGTTTCTTTTATGCCAGTGTTGTTTCCTTACATTCACATTCCTTACGTAATAAATAAATAAGTTTCGCCTATTCTTTAAAAGAAACGCGCGAATCTTTGCCAGATCGCTGATAATCATTTCGTAATATTTGATAACGATTAACTAACATGAGTGATAATATTTGCGCAAAAATACATAATTCTCAGCTATCCAAATATGCACGAAACAAACACTACCACATGTCTTCCATTCGTCCGCGCTCTCTGGTGGAATTTATTGTTCATTTCACCTGAGGACGACGGTTATACACTTGTCAAAAGTGCTTATGTTAATGCTAAAGGAACTTTATTAACGCTGAACTCAGTGAATTTTCATCCAAAAACTATACAAAGCTTGGTGCGAGTTTTTTAAATTTACTTTTTAACATCAAACAGTTTGGATGACTGTCAGCTTTATACATAAGCATTATTTTTATTTTCTTTATGTAATAGTTTATAATAAGTTACTAACATATATTTTATTTTGGCTGATCTAAGAGCCACTGTGCAGAATAAAGACATTTAAGTTTTCATCTAATGTTCATTTAACTTTCAGCTCACTAAACTTAATGTAATCTGATTTCATGTAGGATTTTTCATGAAATTTTTTGAAAGAAATGTGCATCTTATCTGAAAGAAAATAAAGTGATTTCAAATTTTATAAAACTTCATAATATGAGATTTTGACTTGATGAATATTTATGCTGCTTTGGAATAAATTTTACTAATTCTTTAATTGTGTAAATTTGCTAAATATTAACAAAAATAGTTTGAATATAACATCTTCAACTCAATTTAGCTTTAATAGTAGCCTATATAACAGTGCAATTCATAATTCAGTTATAAAGAGAGTATATTAAGTTTTATTAATACAGTAGAGCATCGATTATCCGACCCCCAATTAATCATCACATCAGTTAACTGACCGTTCTAGTCGGCAAATTTCAAATGTCCGCTAGTGATGTGGCACTACAATATTTGGCTATGTCTTGGCTACTTTAATATTATTTTTGTTAAATTTTTGCGTTTTTTAGCTGGCAGCATCGGCTCGACCATTGAAGGGAGGCCAGTATTTAAACAAGACTTAATTTTCTAATTATGAGTGGTTGTTTGTTTTGTGAGCAATAAAATAATTTTAAAATAATTTTTAACGACACAACAGCGACGATTAATATTAAAAAAAAAATTTGTTAGGCTTAACATCGATGAAAATTCAACGCAAAGTAGGTTAATAGCGATATACTAATATACTAATTACATGGGATATAATAATATACTACACTAATAATGGATTTTTTCATACTTTTCGGTTATCCGACTTTTCAATTATCCGACCAACTCCAGTTACCAATTGGGTCGGATAATCGAGGCTCTACTGTAC